CTCTGTTTTCCGTTGTAGACAGGCGCTGATTAGTTAACTTTAACATCATATAACAACGAAAAGAAAGCTCAGATCAAAAAATGGTTCAGGACTTTTCGATTTGAATTGTTGTTCTGTATCTGATAGTATTGTCCATATGGATAGATACGATTTGCTCAACAGAATATATATATACTGGGTGTAACTAAACAAACGCATATGGACAATACTATCAGATACAGAACAATTCAAATCGAAAAGTCCTGAACCATTTTTTGATCTGAGTTTTCTTTTCGTTGTTATGTGATGTTAAAGTTAGCTAATCAGCGCCTGTCTATACAGCAGAAAGCCGTCTCGCTACTCCGACCCTCGTCGTACCTTCTCTGTTTTCCGTTGTAGACAGGCGCTGATTAGTTAACTTTAACATAATATAACAACGAAAAGAAAGCTCAGATCAAAAAATGGTTCAGGACTTTTCGATTTGGATTGTTGTTCTGTATCTGATAGTATTGTCCATATGCGTTTATTTAGTTACACCCAGTATAGAGCTTTTTGCAGCGCGAGAACATACAGACACAGGATGGCCTCATTCACCAGGGTCCCCTTGTATCTCTTTTCTTATGAGACTTCGTCCTTCATTCCTAGAATGGAGGTTACTCCTTGCTCAATAGTGGAGGATATCCGCCATGCGCCGTTTCCACGGCTTGTTTTTTGATCCTCCCTCTCGCATCTCATCAAGGAGAGGCACCTAATTTTCACAGATGCTTCCAAGGAGGAGTCCGGTGATCATGTTGGGATAGGCATCTTCTCCCCTACCCATATTAGGAGGAAGTATAGAATAGATGGCTATTCCTCTGTGTTCTCTGGCAAATGTATAGCTACCATCTATGCGGCGGAACTAGCTCTGGAAAATTATGTTGAGAGGGTGACGATCTTTACGGACTCCCGCAGCGTGGTCGATATAGTTCCATCTAATAGAATCAATAGAGACCACAATTACCTTGTCCTAGTCTTGAAAAACAAGCTGGGATCGGCCTTCCTCCAGAGAATTGACATAATTCTTGTATGGATTCCGGCGCACATCGGCATCCCGGGTAATGAGGCCGCGGATCGCCTCGCCAGGGAGGCGATTGGCGAAGGCGAGCCTTCGGAGTACCTTCCCCCTCACTCGGATTTCTTTGCCATCCCGCGAAAGAGATATATTGAAACAATTGAACACTTTTTGATAGACCAAGCGGCCCACAAGGGTTCTCAATACTTCAGGCTATATCCCGCTTTCTTGCCTAATTCTTGGTTTGCTAAGTCGAAATTTAATAGAACGGAAATAGTAACAGTTAGCCGCATTCGCTCTAACCATTATAATTTGAATTATATGATAGTTTGAGCAGGTGCGGTATAGTGGGGTCCCCCGCCTGTGACTGTGGAGCTCCGCAGCAAGACATAAATCACGCTCTCTGGCATTGCCCGTTGCTCGGGAGGCATCGCGGTCCGCTCCTCCGGTCCATTCAACGGAGTCTGGGATCTCCTCCACCCTATGATGTGTTTGATCTCCTAAAAGAACCTTCCTACGAAACGATTGCATCCATCGTCTCCTTCCTACGAAAAAACGACATTTCGATTTGATGTACAGTTGTAACGATGCACCCCCCATCGTTACCCGGCAGTAGATCGCCGGAAGTCTGCCGCCCGACGAACACCGGCCGGGCAGGGGCAAAGGCGCCGAGCGCCCATTTTAATACGCTAATTACCGCCGTTGCGAACAACCGTACGGCCGTTATACGGCCGCCGTTACGCCGTTATACGGGAAAACCGAGCACAGCCGAGTGCTGCCGGAAGATCCCGAGCGTCACCCGCCGAAACGCCGCGTCGTTTCGCCCAGGGGAAGCGACGCGTTTACCAGAATAATTACCCGCCGAGAACAACGCGTCGTTATCCCCACCCGGAGGCGAATGACGCGATTACCGCTAGGCGCTCGGGTATAAACTGGCAGCATTTCGGCATCTCATTACCAGAACGATTCCTGAAATCCGCTCGAGCAATACGCTCCGAGACAATACCAGAACCGATCCTGAAAACTCGCAGAAAACGACGGAACGAGAGATTGACGCGTACGCAGTCTCCGCCGAGCATTCTCGGTTTCCTCGCCGCCTGCGAAATCCTAGCTAATTCCGACCTCATCGAACGATAGCGGAGAGTTCGCCGCTATATGAGATTCGGTCTAAACATCCGCCGCTACCGCTAAACGGACCGTGGGCCGGCGAGTTC